AGGGAGGGAGGGGAGGGAGGGGAGGGAGTCCCCTTTTCTCATCAAACCCCGTGTAACATCCCCCCTTCCCCCGCTCCCCCTCCCCCCGACACACACACACACACACACACCTGCACACCAGCTGGCCAAGCGGATGGACGCCAGTGACTTTTCCGACGTGGAAGATGACGTCGAGGATTACATGGCGGCGTTGGAGGTGGGGGGTCCAGGGGTGGGGGGTCCAGGGGTGGGGGGGTCCAGGGGTGGGGGGTCCAGGGGTGGGGGGGTCCAGGGGTGGGGGGTCCAGGGGTGGGGGAGTCCAGGGGTGGGCGAGCGGGTCGGGGGCCCCTCCACGTTTTCCAAAACCCTCTCCGCCTCCGGACATTGCACAAGGCGTCAGGAAGGGGGGGGGGAACCACTGCGGAGGGGGGGGGCAATAAGGCCCCATTGGATGGGGGGGATGGGGGGGAAGGGGGGAGGCACAGGGCCTTGGAGGGAGCCGCAGGGAACGTTGCTGCTTCTGTTGTTGTTATCCATACCGCTGTAACCTCAAACCACCATCACCGCCATCACCACCATCACCACCATCACGTGCGCAGGTGTCAAGCCGCGATCAGGGGGTGGGAGGTGGCGGTGGCGGTGGCGGTGGCGCCTCCCTCTCCAGGGGACCGTCCCTGGCGATGCGGGGCTCTAAGAGCAGGCTGACGGCGGGGGTGGGAGGGGGGGTGGCGGCGGGGGGAAGTACGGCAGTGGCGACGGTGACGTCAGACCAGGAATCCAGTCCCGCCGCTCCCGCCGCCGCCACCGTCAACGCTCCTGCCGCCGTCTGCGTGGCGCCGGAAAGAGCTCCTGGCGGCGGTAGCGGCGACAGCGGCGGCGGCGGCGCTGGTGGTGGCGCTGGTGGCCGCAGCAGTACGGCAACTACCGCCGAAGACGCTATCGCTTCAAGGGCATCTGCTCGGCCGACTGGGGCACATTCCGAGTTGCTGGTAGCGGCCGGCGTCGGAGTCAACGACGAGGCCGTTTCGGAGGCCGGGTCAGATCGCGGGGTATATGGAAGAAGAAGTACACGTGACGCGACGGCGGCGGTGCTACAGCCGCCGCCGCCGCCACCACCACAGCTGCAGGAGGACGGCGGCCTTCCTTCCCGCCGGTACGAAGCTGGTGGCCGCGGCGGCAGTGGCGGCAGTGGCGGCAGTGGCGGCGACGAGGTGGCGGTACTCTGGCGCCACCACGAGCATATGCAACAGCCCAAGAACCGCAACAACGACAATGACAACGGTAACAGTAATGGCGGCGACTACAGCCCGGTAGGGCAGCATCGCTACTGCCGCGGCGGCGTCGGCGACGGCGGAGGTTGCTGCTACGGCGGCAGCAGTAGCGGCAGCCTCAGCGGCCAGCGACGCCGCTCTAGCGACCTCGAGCCGCCGTCTGTTGGCTTCTGGTTGGACGCTGAAGACAGTCACGATGGTGAGGACACCCGCCCACCGTCAACCGTCAACTACCAACGACAGCTGGAACAACCGCTGCCGTTGCCACCGCAGTTCCCAGCGGCTCAATATCAGCCGTCACCTGGGGGCCCTGATGAAAGCGGTTATTACAACCACCATAACCAACACTACAACGGTAACTACAACGACCATGAGGAGGACCGCAAGCACCGTTATCATCCTCATCACCAACAGCAGCAGCAGCAGCAACAGGAGGAGGAGGAGGAAAGGGAGGAGGCGGGTGGATGGCAGCAGCAACAGCAGCAACGGCTCGGTGAGGACGACGAGACCCAGCAGCAAGCACCCGGCAAAGCGGCGGGAGGTTCTCGGCGCCCCTCGGGTCGCAATGCCGTGGTTCACACGCTGGCAGCTGTCAACCCGCTGCGGCTGTTTGGTTTCGGAGCGGGGCGGAAGGGGACCGACAACAAGAGGCTGGAGAACAGGGAGGCCGCCGGCGGCAGCAGTGGCGGCAACGTCAAGCGAAGGGGAGGAGGAGGGGACGGCGTGGAGGAGGGGTACGTGTACGGATACGGTTACGGATACGGGCCGTCGTACGGAACTGGAGGCCGGCGGTCCTTACAGGTGGGTGGGGGCCTCCGAGGGGTAAAATGTGTTTGTGTATGTGTGTATGGGGGGGAAGGGAGATGTGGCTGCTGGGGGTTGTGAGGCTGGCTTATGCACATTATCTGTGTACGGATAGCTGAAGGGTTGCGTGGGTCGGGTGGGGGGATGGGTTGCAGTGGGGTGGGGGTGGGCGGCAGAGTGTGGATGGGTGTGTGTGGATGGGTGTGTGTGGTTGGGCAGCCCCTGCGCCTTTCCCCTTCCAACCGCTAACTGCCGACTTCCCCAAGTAGAGCCAACTGAAGACACCAAATATTTACATGTACATATACTACATTATACCTGTATAAAGTTATATTTTCGTATGATCCCTTCTGTATCCTTTTATTAGGGTTTATTCGTAATGCTTCCCACAAATCACGTCTTCCCCCTCTCCCCCTCTCACCCTGGGGCCCTCTCTCTGCCCTGTTCCTCCTCCTCCTCCGCCGCCGCCGCCGCCGCCGCCGCTGCTGCCGTACAGGTGGACGGTGACGAGCTCGTTTACTGGTCCGCGGACGTCGTCGACCAGTGAATGGATCCTGCTCCGACAATGACGTGGCTTCCCCGTACACTCCTTTTGCAGCCGCTATCGCCCCAAGACACATACCACCTCCCTCTTGAGGGTGGAAATGAAGTGGGCTGGGTTGGATGGGGTTGTATTCATGCACAAATGTACGCATACACTTCCCATATAGCCTCATCGTCGTATTTGTATTTTACGTGCGTTTGCCGTTGCCGTACTCCGTCGTACTGGTGTGAAGTCGCGTTGGCCCAGCCACGTCATCATGAGGTCCAGTTCATGGTGCGCCCGAGCGGCCCGCGTGTGTGTGCATTGGGGGCCCCAGGGGTGTGAGAGTCCAGGGGGGGAAAAAGGGGGAAAAGCGCCTCCTTCATTCATGCTTTATGAAATTATGGATGGGCCGTGTGGTTTTTCTTTTTGAGTGTGTGTGTATGTCTGTGTGTATGTCTGTGTGTGTGCCGCTACTACTGTAGGGTTAGCTTAGCAGTGGTGGATGAATGATAAGCCGTACGTACCTAGCAGCTGCAGGCCCTGAGCCCGTCCGTGTCCTCCAGGGACGCTTTATTTACTTTCGTAAGACGGGGTTCCCTGTCGTACTGCATCCGTACGGAAGTAAATTCGTTGGACTTCGGTGGCCTTGTTCTCGCGCATTTTTGCTTTTTCCTACGGGACCACTGACTGAACAATGGCGCTGCTCACTAGTGCTGTGGGTTGCGGCTTTAGTGCCCTCCTCGGCCGGGCTGACTGCAAACTGCAACCACCCTCACCCTCACCACCAGCACCAGCACCAGCACCACTACTACTGCTGCTGCTGATAGGGTTACTAGGCATGTGACCCATATGGGGAGAAGTGGTGCAAAGAAACTCGGGGGACTACATAGATGACCTGCGGAGAATGGCTAAACATGAGTTACAATCACGAACTGGATTTTTATCTGTAAGATTTGACCGGCGGCTGCTGTATCCCATCCCATCGTGGAACCAATATTATTAATTGTAAACTATTATCAATAAATATTGTAAAAATACAAATACAGAAAAATGTATTGACCCCTTCCCTAAGCACACCTCAGCCGTTGGGGCAGTGTGCGCAAGGCAGAGCTAACAACTCACAAGGCCACTGGTGAAGCTTAACCACCCTGTAACAACATCAACTCACCAAAACCCCCTCGGATGTCAATTTACCACTTCGGCTGCTTGAATACTGACATGACCAACAACACAGAAACCGCGTGTCTTAAACTGATTGCACTCAGCCCGTACAGATGCTGTACGCTCGTCCATCATATCGGCATGCCGGTAGCTCTGGCGCCCCCCACATGGGCTTGTTTGATAACAAATTAACCCCACCGCAGGCTGCTGCAACAGCAGCACGGCCAGCACATCCTCAACCCCTTTTGCCAAACGGTTGGCCAAGGCGGGCCGTACGGCAATGGCAATCCAAGAACAGGAGGGAGTGTTTTTATAAGAACTGCAGCGCACCGCATCCATCATCGCCGTACAGCACTTTATACAATATAATGCATAGTTTTGTCGAAGATAGAATTAGGTAAAATTAGGTTAGCAAAGTCGTATTCCGCTAGTTCAGGTCCGCTTGATGGCCTTAATGTCTCCATCGCCCTAAATATGGCTAACGATAACGACGAAGGGGGATGGAGAGAAGCCGAGGACGCCAAGTGCTAAGCGGCATGGTTTTCGCGATGCAGATGCATTTCTTCAAACAGGAAGTTTAGTGGACCTTCTTCTTTGTTTTCTCTTTGTTGATTCCATATTTTAAGACCTTAAGTCTTGGATTTGGACGATTCATCTCAATATTCGAATCTTGGATCAAAGTTCCTGCCAGGATCGTGATTAACACCCCTCATCTCCAAACTTCAGTTCATATCCACAGCAGCTCCCCAATCCGGCGCGCCCCGGCGGCAACTGTCGGCTCCCGTCGCTTCGCCAGCGACTCCGGTTGCTGCTGCACGGCAGTTTTGGGGACCTTCGCGGCTTATGGCTGCTGTTGTACGGCAACCGCAGTAGCTTTCGGCTTACGCCCGGTGTTGTACGGCAGCCGAGGGGTCAGGGGCAGGGGCGGCGGCGACCCATTGCGGCTGTCGTGCTGGCGGACGCAAGCCCACACGGTAACTCCGAAGCTTGGTGCTGATGGCTTGTCACATTCACGGAGACCTGGGGACACAGCAAATTGCGGCAGCTGTCTGTTTCGCAATACCATCTTTGGATCTAGATTTGGATCCAGATCTGGATCTTGCTCTCGATCCAGTTTATTCCAATCCACATCACCATGCATACACGGCTCTCCTTCCAGCAGATCTGCCACTGAACACAGCAGCTCTATCCAATCATCGGCGTCGCCATCACCGCCGTCGTCTTGGTCGCCATCATCATCTTGGTCGCCATCATCATCTTGGTCGCCGTCATCATCTCCGTTTGCGTCACCACCCGCCACATCATCGGACCCACTGTCCCTCTTCTGGCATCGCCACAGTGACCCCCAAGTAGCAGCACTAGTAGCACTAGTAGCACTAGTAGCAGTCGCAATAGCAGCAGTAGCAGTCGCAGTAGCAGTAGCAGCAGTAGCAACATAGACTGCACGGCTCCCTGATGCAGGAGGCGCTACTGATTGGCGATCTGGTGGCTGCTCCTGCGGCTGCTGTTGCTCCCCCTCCTGCTGCTGCTGCTGCTGCTGTTGCGGCTGAACCCCGAAGAACTCCACCCTTTTTGCTGCCATCGCCACTGCTGCCGGTTCCGCTGTTTTAGCCATCGCCCCTAATACGGCGCCGATTGCAGCACAGTAGGATGCGACGCCGTAGGAGGATAGGCCAGGTAGCAGAAGTGGGGCACCTGATCAGGCAAGGGGGTAGGGATTCGAAAGAAGAAGGAATGGTTGTGAAGGTAAGGCGGCAACATCCGAAACGTCCCCTACGGCAGAGGAGCCCAACAAATCGCTTTTTTGAGCGCAAAAAGCGCTGCTTTCTGTTCTTTGAGCAAGCAAACAAAACACAGCGGCACCTTGGCTGTGATCCCCCATAACGCCCTCATTAGTTTGGCGCCGGTAAGAAACGACGTCACGGGTCACATCTCTGCCGCGCACGAGTGATATTGTTGGGCCTGAGGGCTTGAGGGGAGCAGACGGACCATACATACATACATACATACATACATACATACATACATACATACATACATACATATATAAGGGTTTGGCACCACTGGTAAGGCGCGACCATTGCCCCAGGGAGATCCCGGGATCGATACCCATTAGGGTCAAAGTCCTTCCGATGGTGGAAGGCATTGCGCCCCTAGTTGATGGACGGTGGTGACCTGGGATAAAGTCAACCTGCGAGCCGACCAGGAACGGAGTTGGGCCGCTGTCGACCCGGCAGATTCCATTGGATGCTGGTGATGGGTGCGGAATCTGAGCGATCCACTGAGAAGTTGACTGACTGATGAGGGAGCCCCGAAATACCGGGGAAGGCAGGGTTTCGCAGGGTAGCTGCCATGGGCGAAGATACACCCCCTGTTTCACACATCATACATACTTTTCAAATTAGACCCAGTGCTGTGGAAGGGCGTGGGCTTGTGCGGTGTTATCCCCCCGACGGGTGCTATCTCCCCTGGACTAGCCCAGGGAGGGAGAGGCGGAGGAGGGTAGTAGTCTCAGGAGGCTGTTTGGCGTCTTGTGGGGTGAGCTCTTTGCGCTCTTTTTGCGTGAGGAGTTTTGAGCTTGGTGACCTCCCCAGCCCGGGAAGACTCGTCGGGCTCCCGGTCGCCCAGGTCCTGGTTGCGAGCTTTCTGAGGTGCTCGGTTCGTTCGGTCGGCAGGAAGAGGGCCCCGGTTGCGACTTCGTTTCTGTTAGGAGACCAGCGGGCATAGATCCCGTCTAGCTGGAGCGCCAAACCCCGGAGGGGAGCGCTGATGTGTGCCGGCCGCCGTTTCCCGTGCGGCCTGACCCGGGGGCGGAGTGCACGAGGCTAACCAGCCGTGTGCATCCGCCCCCCGCGCTGTGTTTCGGCCCTGGGCCTCCGGCTTTTCAGCCCACAGTGTAATCAACGTCATACATACATACATACATAACCGACGAGTGCGGCTGGCCTTCACATCACACCAGGACTTAGCCGCAAGCATGGAGGCATGGATCACCAGCCAGTGTGCCACAGCACCATCAGCGGAGGACAACCCTTTGGGCCTGATTGCGTGGTGGCCAGCTTTTAAACGCCGGTTGAGCACCCTGGCCCTTCAGCTCAACAAGGCGGCACAACACCGCAAGCTCAGACCAGGGACCCGGGCTCGGGAAGTGTTACCGCAGGTCCAGTTGGCAAGGCAAGCGGTGGATGCAGCCCCCACAGCACAACAGCCACTCCAACAACTGGTCGAAGCCCAGGCAACGCTCGCACGAGCACATCGGGAAGACTGCCGGAAGGATGCCATGGAGGCCCGCACCCACTGGCTGCAGGCAGGGGAGAGGCCGAGCCCATCCCTTACAGCCTTCCTCCAGGCCCAGGCTATAGACCAACAACCAGCCCCTGTCGCCCTGCAAGCCTTGTCCGGCCGACTTGTTACCAACCCCGCTCAGCTGCCCCAGGTGGTAGCCGACTTCTGGAAGGATGTGAGCAAGGCCCCGGACTTCATCTGCCCCCAGGCCCGCCAAGCCGTACTGAACTCCCTCACCGCAGCCAACATTAAGCTCCCAGCAGAGGCAGATGAACAGCTTGGAGCCAAAAAGATCACAGCCACCGAACTGCGGAAGGCACTCGAGAAGAGCGCACCTGGCAAGGCCCCAGGGTGGGATGGGATTCCAGCCGACATCTACAGGAAATCCTGGTCAGCCATAGGTAATACCATGGCAGGCCTGTTCACTGCCATTGGCACGACCGGGCAGGTGCCCGCAGGCTTCCTTGAAGGGATCATCACAGTGCTCTATAAAAAAGGCGACCCCAAGCTCCCCGGCAACTACCGCCCCATCACGCTGTTATGCTCGGACTACCGGCTCCTTGCTAAGGTACTGGCGAACCGCCTGGGCCCCGCCCTGGGACGGGTCATCACCCCCGAGCAATCCGCCTTCCTCCCCAAGCGCCTGATTGGGGCCAGCGTACTCTTCCTGCGCCACCTGTCACACCTCCTCCGCAAGCAGAACCGCCAAGGGCTTTTGGCATTCCTGGACTTTGCCAAAGCATACGATACAGTGGATCGCGGCTTTCTCCTAGCGGCCATGGAGGCGATGGGGGCAGGGCCACAGCTGTGTGCGTGGGTACGTCTGCTACTGAGCGAAACCCGAGCCCGGGCATGGTCAACGGGTACAAGTCCAGGCTGGTAGACATGGAGGCTGGTGTCCGACAGGGCTCCCCCCTGGCGCCTCTGCTGTACCTCTTCGTCGCCCAAGCTCTCCAATGCTGGCTCCGGAGCCAGGAGGTGGGAATTAAGCTGCAACCGTCCGACCCAAATCCCGTCACCGCCTGCCAATATGCAGATGACACGGAAGTGGCGTTGGATGGCGCGGAATCAGTCCCCTCCTTCCTACAGGCCATGGAAACATTTGCCCGGGCATCTGGCCAGCGACTCAATCTGGAGAAAGTGGAACTGCTATGGATTGGCCAGCAGCGACAGCAACAACAGCAGCCGGCGCCAGCAGCAGGACCCCAGCTAACAGCCCCCCAGCAGGAGACAATCGGAGGACTTAAAGTGGTAAACACTGCTACTGCCCTGAGACTGCCGATAGACAACCAGGTGACCCCACCACAGCCGGACTGGACGAAGAGGATGGGAGAGGCCAAACGGCGGATGCAGCGTCTGTCCCGCTTCCCGCTGTCAGCATTTGCTAGGGCAACGGCGGCGTCGGCGTATGGCTTGCAGACGGTCACCTGGCACATGGAGCATGGCGGACTGGCCCCAGACCGCGTGCTGGACGAGATAGAGCGACTCACGGCTCGCCTGGTCGACCGCCAACAAGGCCCGGATAATCCTGGCCGACGCTTGACTGGCGTGCCCAAGGAACTCCTGATCGGTCACCCATCGACAGGAGGCTTTGGTCTGCTGCCCCTCCGGCAACACATCCAAGCCCGGCATGCGGTGTGGGCAGCTCGCTTTGTCATCGCAACCCTAGGGCTGCGAACAGGCAACACGAGATCAGATACAGGCGCAACAGACACAGATATGCAGGTGGGCGGAGGTATCCACCCCTGGGTCCGCACGCTTTCAGCCTACCTTCTGCTCACGAACCCCGCTTTCCAGCCGTGGGCCCTGACAACCGCGAGCCCAACTGGGCCCTGGCTTGGGACTCGTGACCTGCCGAAGGATATCAGCCGGATTGTGGGAGCCCTGGGGCACTTGCCGCCACCAGAGGACATCGGGACCAACCCGCTGACACCCGGTGACTGGTGCTGGGCGACTGCATTATGGGGAAATCCGCTATTCCCCAATGCTGGAGGGACCGACCCGACGGACCGGGGCCGCCGCCCGGCCTGGAGTACCAATACCCTGGGCTTGCCGCCTGCAGGAAACTACAGACTTGTGCTGTGTGCTCCCGAACCTTGCGCTGTGTTTCGGCTTCGGCCCCCGGCTCTCGCGGCCCACAGTGTAATCTAAGTCATACATACATACATACATACATACATACATACATACATACATACATACATACATACATACATACATACATACATACATACATACATACATACATACATACATACATACATACATACATACATACATACATACATGCATACATACATACATACATAATGTATACAGTTGTTGGACGGCGGCGGGACACTGAAGATACAGTTACTGCTGAGGATGACACCTAAACAAGGCATGCAGCTTGCCGTACTAGGATTGCCCTCAATTGCAGGGCTGTAGGTTGTGCCTGAGGTTGGCATCCCCCGAAGGTTGCTGTAGACCGTTACGCATAAAGCGGCCAAAGTCAAATAGCTAAACCGCTGTCAGTAGACGAGAAGGAAGCCAGTCTATGAGACCTTCAGGTATGTGGGTGGCTTGCTGTAATATGCGGTGATATTAAACAAAACTATCGCAAGAATACAGAAAAATCCCCCACACGTAATGCATCGCAACGATCAACGCCTGCAGGCTTCGCACAACTCCTAAAATTAAACGGGTTCGATTAATGAAATTCAAGGGTTCAAATCCTTCTTTTCCATAATATGAACTGCAAGGTACAAATGGCGACGGCAACGCGCAAAATAGATAGCAGCTCGACTTATCTTACGAGTATTCGATTGGCAGCGTAACGCGACTGATGGGCCGCCGTTAGGGAACCTAACGACGGCCGTAATGGACGAGCGGCACACTTTGTACGCCGTAAGGAACAACATAGGTTTGGTTTCGGACCTGCAAGAAGAACAGAACCCCTAACGGAACGCTTTCAAAAGGAAACCGTCCAGGCCGTCCACCGCCCACGCCTCAAGCAAAATATCTTCGGAGAATGTAAAAGCCTGAAGTCCAGGCAGCGCGACCCAGTTTCTTCCCCGTAACTCGACGTATGGACGATGGCCTCCATTTGCCGCTCATGGGCTTACGAGCACGGGTTCCTTGGGCACTCATTAGTATGATGAAAGTTAAATGACTACTTCTTAGTAAGGTAAATAGTTTGTTTTGCGTTAGCAGAAAAAAGCGGTTACATCGCTACCCCCTATTCGAGCTAATCAGTTGCTGCATATCTATATAAGTACCTGTAGTCTAATTAGGCAAATCCAGAAAGCTGCAACTGACAGCAGGTCGGTCGGACGGACGGAGACGAGGCAGACGGTTGGGGACGCAAAGGGAAAAGGAGCCCGCCGAGTCCCTACGGCCTGCAGCTTTAACTGCTTGATAGATTCCACGTCGGAGAGTCTACGTCAGAGACCCGCGGCTTCTGTGGGGGTTACCTGCCTGGGTTCCTAGCCGGCCAGGCTGGCCACTACGTTGTCCTAATAGGAGCAGTCAGCTTTCTTGACTGAAATCTTGAACCGATTTCGAATTGCGCACGCATTGGGCACGGATGGGCTTTAGTTGGAAAGATTGAAGCGGCGAGGGCTGCGCTGGGTCAGAGAAGCTCTTGACTTCGCAGTGGGAAGGAAGCGTCCCTTTGCCTTCCTTACCTTCGCCGCCCGTTTCGACTATGAAGGTAACGTCGTCGTGCCATAAGGAGACCCGGAATAAAGCTTGAATTTGGAGGCGAAAAAGCTCCAGCCCGTCTGCGCCAGGCCACACGCGCAAATTGCGGGCAACGCCATTGCCACTGTCGAAGCTGCAAATGCGCGCCAAAACAATCTTTTCAGCAGGGCTCGTGGAAAATATTTCTAAGTTTTTATTCTAAAAGACAATTGAGCTTCTATTTCCAGCGGAGGACTGAGGAAGTGCAAGCGCCCAAGCCACTGACTGCAACACTGACGGTTGGTCTACTAGGTTCGCAACAATTATCTCACCACAAAAACAGAGTAGCAGGGCGCATCTGACAACAGATGTCGTTTGGAAGGGTCCACGTTAAGGATAGCAAGTTGCAGGCGGCGGTAAAGTCCGGACAACCGCCATGAGGGCATAAGTTACAGGCAACGGGTCGCCTGGCCATATTATCGGTCTCCTTCATCCCACTCCTTGTACTCATTATGTCAGCTTCATCGGGCAGGCATTAGGATACTGCGAACACTTGATGTCGCAAACCCGTCAGGTTGGCCGATCGGATAGTAATTCTGAAATGGTAATTGACCTAAAGCCCAACAACTGTAGGCGCATTGGAATATTGGTATACGACTGGGCTCTACGCTGGTGCTCGTACACAGCAGTTGATACTTTTAGGGTGACGAGCCACAATTGTGTGGTACTTTTGCAGAGTCTACTACTGCGTATCAAAACCCCTTACTATAATATGTGTGTATGGGTATAAGATGTCTTTGGAAGTGAATAGAAGGAAAGATTTTAGATACCCGTGTACCTGACTATCCAGGAGCATTAGGCCTGTTTCTGCAGGGCTTGGTTTTCGCCAGCTCCTCACCGCTCATAATTTGCTAATAATAAATGATATCCGTCGTTTGAAGAGGTGGCTGCTGTGCCAACTTGAAGAATGGATACACGTATTTGAGCAGCAGCTCCGCGTAATCCTCAGCACTGTGGCCAAATTTTAAAAATGAAATTAAACTGTGCTCCTACTCACATCTCTGACAGCCCGAATGGCTTTCAACTGCTCAATGCCGTGACATCCCACAAGGCGTTAAGCCTTAGCGAGCTCCTCAAAAGATGACATGGTGACATTTCCACTGAATTCGCACCACGATAACAATAATGTATTCGCCTCATCATCTCGTTCTATCGCAAACTTGGTAAGCCAAAAATCGGTGCCTTGACCTTGGTAGATTACTATCGGACATTGAATTGATCCTGAGGGGTGAGGAGCTTTACTAGCTCTGCGCGTAGGAGTTTCATAGCCTGCCTAGGAATTTTGTCACGCTTGGAACGGTCATACCGGACGAGCGGCACACTTTCGGCCCTAGCACGTCTGGTGTGTTTCTTTGCAGGTCGTTGGCGGTTGCGACTAGCCAGTTCGTAGCCAATGATGCCTATTCACAACCGATGCTGTATTCGTATGCTAGTTTCTACATACAATTTCCCAATATTACGTTGAATAAACGGAATACAATGCTGATAATAGGACCATACTGATATTTTTAAGAGGCGCCCACGCCCGTCGATGAACTGATTGTCATAATATTGCTTTTGCATCAATTTGATGCTTGGGTTTGATTAGGAGCGTTAAACGATCCGGGAGTACTTTGGATAAAAGGAATGGTGGTCGAGGACAGCGTGGAACTTTTTGTCAGTGGACGTCTATGCTTGTTTGGAGAGCACACAGACTGGGCAGGCGAATACAACGGTCGATCGGAGTCCTTCGTCGAGGGACGGACGATTGTGGTTGGCACCCAGGAAGGCATCTTTGCAACTGCGCGGCCCCTCAAAGAAAAGGTACACCTTGTAATTTATGCAATTTATATCTATCCAATATTACGCACGGTGCCATTCATCCCGCTCACGTTATTCAAGCTAATTCCAGCTAATCAACACCGGTCAACATCACGCGCTCTTGCTCCCCCCCGTAGGTCGCTTCGGTCTTACTTCCCCCGCTCCTCTTCAGCCTTTCTTGATTCCCGCCTGCTCGCCTGCAGGTCCTCCGGATCACCACCACCGACAACGACGGCAAGCAGACCGGGCCTCTGGAACTCCCCCTTGAGCCAGCGGAACTGCTCGCAGGTGCTGCGCCCTCCTCAATTCATGGTTCCTCCCCCCTCCCCCGCCCTGCATGCTTCGCTTCGTTATAACTCCTCCCCCTCCCTGCGCCCCCAGCCATTCATCTCCCTTCCACCCCACTCCCCCAAACACCATTTCTTGTCGCATCCCCGCATAATACATTACTTCCTCCCTCCTCATCCCCCCCTGCCCTCGCCTCCCCGTCGCGCTATCCACCCCCGGGACGCCTCGTCGTCATCCTGCGTCGTTGGTCCCGCCTGCACTAGTATTCATCTCCCTCTCTCCCTTGCCCTCTCTTGCCCTTTTCCCGCCCTCCCTTTTCCCTCGTCCTCGCCCGCATGGGGGGCTGTGAATGCCGTTGCCATATACCTCTCTCCTTCCTTCGAGCATGACGTGTATGCTCCTGTGTAACCACTTCCCTTTCCCGCCCTCCCCTGACCGTTACTTTCCTCTCCCGGTCTCGGCCCGCAGTCGCGCGCGCCGGCGGCTTCTTTAGCTACGTGGCTGGCACGGCCTACCGTGTGTGTGTGTCGTACGACCTGTACGGCGGTCTTGAACTGATCAACCACGCAACTACTCTTCCCATGTCCAAGGGTCTCTCCTCGTCCGCTGCCATTTGCGTCATGGTGGGTTTGGGGGACCTGGGGGGACCTGGGGGAACCTGGGGGGACCTGGGGGGTAGACGAAGGGGAAGGAGCGGGGAGGGAAGGGATCCCCCCCCATGGAGAAAACCCCAAAAGCGGGGACAGCCGGGGAGGGGGACGAGGGGGAAAGACGAACCACACACGAGTGAAGCTGCTGCCGGGGCAAGAGTGTACCAAACGTAGAACTGACCGAAAGGCGTCCGTGAAAAGGGGAGGGGGAGAGCCCGTTAGGGTCTCTTTGGAGTGCCAATGTGCAGTGGAGTGGAGTGAAGGGGTGGGTGGTGGGTGGTGGGTGGGGTGGTCTTCCCGGACCGCTCATAAAGGGAGGGAGGGGAGGGAGGGAGGGAAGGGATCTGTGCCAAGAAGGAACCAGGCACCTCAACACGACGTGCGTATGTGTAACTGTGTGTTTTGTCCACGTGCTGCGTGCTGTGTGCTTTGTCCAGCTCATCTTCCCCACCCCCTCATCTTCCCCTCCCCCCTCCCCCCCCGCACCCCAGGTGGCTCGTGCCTTCAACCGTGTGTACCAGCTGCATCTCAGTACGCGGGGGGAGATGGAGCTGGCGTATCTGGGGGAGATTACCACACCCTCAAAATGCGGTAAGAAGGGGTTTCGGAGCTGTTTGGAGGGTTCCACTGTACCCTAACAGGGAGGGGCGGAAGGGGGAGAGGGAAGAGCAGTCACGGAAGGGGACCTTGGGGCCCTGCTTAGGCAACAGCGAGATTGGGTCTCTCACACACACACAGACACACACACAGACACACACAGAGAATACACACAGAGACATACACACAGAGACATACACACAGACACATACACACATACACACAGACACATACACACAGACACACACACAGACACACACAGAGACATACACACAGACTCACACACAGACATACACATAGAGGCAGGCGGCGGGCAAAGGTTAAGGCCTGACTTCTGCTCTCGGCCGACCCGAGTTCAAATCCGCCTGCCGGCTCCTCGGGTGTTCGAGGAGTGTTGAAATGGGAGGTGGCCCCCCATCATATGGACGATGTAGGACGTAATAAAGTCAACTTGCGAGCTGACCAGGAACTAAGTTGATGCCCCGTTGATTCGCTAGATTTGGTTGGATGCTGGTGGTGAGTTGCCGAACCCAACGAATACATTCTGAAGTCGGATGGGGTGACGGATTAGGGTGCCCCTCTAGCGGGGGAGAGCAGGGACTGCCCCGGGAAAGGGGCTGCTGGCGAAGTGAACCACCCTGTAAGAAAGAAGAGACACACAGACATACACACAGACATACACACAGACATACACACAGACACGCACATAGAGACACACAATGCTACTTCATTACTGAAATATCACTTAGGGTTTATTCAGTGAAGTTCTGCTCCATGTGACTTCTCGAGTGTGTGTATGTGTGCGCGTATGTGTATACGGGGCAAAAGGGTGAAAAAGGGGGAGTGGAAGGGAAGGGGGGCCCCGTCAGGAAGTTTCACCTTGGGGGCGCGGAGGAGGAGGGGGAGACGGGGCCTGGGTGGAAGGGCCGTCTTTCGTGCACCCTCCTGACCTCATCCTTCTGAACCAGCCCGTCGACACAGCAGTACGACACACACACGCACACGCGCACCCATACACACACGCACACGCACACATTTAATCCCTTTCCCCGCAATCCCTTTTTCCCCCCTTCTTGCCACCAAGGCCGCATGGACCAGGCCTGTGCGTACGGCAGCATTCCCGTACTGATGACCTTTGACGGCGACATCTTGACCGTTGACCGTGTCCCCCTGTCCGCCCCCCTCCACCTGGTCTTGGTGGACCTGGGCGCCCACAAGGACACCACTACCATTCTGAGGTGCCTGCAGAGGGCCTACCAGCAACCGACATCGGTGGGAGGGAAGGGGGGAGGGAAGGGGGAGGAAAGGAGGGGAGGGAAGGGGGGAGGGAAGGAGGGGAGGGAAGGAGGGGAGGGAAGGGGGGAGGGAAGGAGGGGAGGGAAGGAGGGGAGGGAAGGAGGGGAGGGAAGGAGGGGAGGGAAGGAGGGGAAAGTGAGCGGGGGGTTGCGGTCGGGTTTTCCTAGTAGATCTGTGTAGGGAGAGGGGGGAGTTGGTAGGCAGTGGCGCTGGGGGAAACCCATCCCCCCCGTGCATTAACCCACCTCGTGCAACCCCAACCCCCAACCCCTACACCGCAGGAGCTGCATTCTGGTTTGCACGGCCTGTTGGGCCCTATAAACTTGCGGCTGACGGGGGCGGCGCTGCGGGCCATGGAGGAGGGCGACCTGCCGCAATTAGGGTGAGTGGGGGGAGGAACCAGGAATGTGTACATATGTACGTATGTATGAAGGGGGAGGTGGGGGAGGAGGACGGGGAGGGGGAGGAGGGGGAGGGGGAGGGGGAGGAGGGGGGAAAGACGAACCACAAACGAGTGAAGCTGCTGCCAGGGCAAGAGTGTTACAGACGTATAGAACTGACCGAAAGGCGTCCGTGAAGACCGCGACCTCGGGATGACGAAGTGAAGATGATGTCGGAAAAACTACCTACCTAAGCCGCCAGGACTAAAAAAGCAGAGAAAGCAGTAATGCCAAGCCGTAAAGAAGGTGTAGAAAAGTAGGTGTAGAGGCGGCGCAGAAGTACTAAAGCACTGCTGTCGTAAAGCTGGAATAAAGTTTGCTGCTGGCCTGGAGAACTAGCTGATTTGCTGGTAATGAAAAGCTGTCGGTATGCAAGTGTTCCTCCCAAACCCCCAAAAAAACGCGCGACCGACCCGACCGACCCGACTATCCTAGTCCGGGGAGGAGGGGGATACAGCCCGCAACTCCGTCGCCGAGCTCCTGGGTGGCGCCTGCCGTACGGCCAAACCCGTACCCGTACCTTTCCCTCGCCCCTTTTTATTTCCCCACTCGCCCCCTCCCCCCTCGGACTGCTTCCGCCAGTCGTCTGATGGTTGAGGCCCAGAGCTTATTCGACCAGCTGGCTGGACCCCTGTGTCCCGAACAACTGAGTGCACCTGCACTGCACAAGGTGTGAGGGGTGAGGGGGGCGTGTGCGTATGTATGTATGTATGTACGTGTGTATGTATGTATGTATGTATGTACGTGTGTATGTATGTATGTATGTATGTATGTATGTACGTATGTATGTATGTATGTGAGCTCGAGTGGGGGCCCCTGACGACGATGGTGTTGATAATCGGGGGCCGAGGTACCCTCTCAGCTACTCACTTCCTAACCCTCTCTCGCCGTACACCTAAGTGACACCTCCCCGGCCCCGGTTCCCCCCAAAACACAATACACACACATGCACCACTCTACACCACCCCACCTCACGAAGCCCTACCGGCCACCGCCACCCCGCAACGGTGCACATTTGCGAATTGAGCCTTCCCAACGTTGTCGTACTGTACTAATTCAGCTACCGACGATTGACTCTCTCCTCTTTTTACAAAAATACCAAATACAAGCCTACCGTGCGCGGTTTCCTTGAGTACTTCCGCTCTTGGATCATAATGCTTGTGCAGGTGTTGTCGTACCCGCCCATTCAGGATCTTGTGTGGGGTGGCAAGGGCGTAGGGTCGCAGGGGGACGGTACGGCACAGTTGCTGTGCCGGGGAGCTGATGCACAGGCCAAGGTGCGATTTGGGGGCTGGAAGATGTATGTATGTATGTATGTATGTATGTATGTATGTATGTATGTATGACTTAGATTACACTGTGGGCTGCGAGAGCCGGGGGCCGAAGCCGAAACACAGCGCAAGGGTCGGGAGCACACAGCACAAGTATGTATGTATGTATGTATGTGGAGTGTATGTGGAGTGTATGTGGGTGTGTTTAGGAGGTTGTTTTGGTCTGGCTGTAATATCGCACAGATCTAATTACCTAACGTAATCCTAACTAACTTAATAACTAACCAACGGAAAGACACCGCTTAAGTAGTACTATTGCTACCAGTACCCTCCCACCCAACAGGGACGGAGGAGAGGGGCGTGTGGGGGCTGAGAAGGGCTGAGAAGGGGGGGATAAGCCCGCTGTGCGCTCCAGCTCATCTTGCCTCATAGGCCCCACTGCCTGAAGTCCTTCCGGAGAAAGGCCCTCTCCGCCCCAAACACACACACACACACACACACAAACCCCTCCACCTA